CCCCTCAAATAATTTTTTCTCCATCCTCCCATGAATGTAGTATCATACTTAACTGATTTAGGTTAAGCTGGTTTATTGAACTTCTGCCCCAGATTCCCTCCAGATGCAAGTTAACTCACAGTCCCCCAGCATCTCATGATGCTTTGCACTTCCCCAGCAAACCCCGCTTTTGCAGGATGGGCAAACTAGCCTTGGCCCAGGTTGTCTGCTCCAGCTGAGCAGGGAGGCATGCTCTAGACCCCCCCAGCTTCTGGCCCAATCCACTGCAAGCTAGGTTGGCCATTATAGAGGACAGTCTGGTTTTCCTCTGTCCTCTATTGATATGAAACCGAACGCCTTTATGTCCTCTATTTTCCTCTTGAAGAGTATCTTCTCTTGAAGAGAAAAATAAAGGATATAAAAGGCATCAGGTTTCATATCAATAGAGGATGGAGTAGCAGAAGACCAGAATGTCCTCTATGATGGCCACCCTACTGCAAGCATGTGGCTGCATTTCCAGAACAAAAGTGAATGTCTGTTCGCTTGCTTATTGGTTTAATCTATGTAGGTTAGACTAACCTGAGAAGACTGAATCAATTCAGCCTTGGGCCTTTTGATTGTCTGTACTTAGCTCTGGAGGTACCCCAACGAGTAACCAGTCTCAGTCATGAGAGCGCTCTCAATTACTGGCCGCACATCTGGGTCCTGCTGCCACAGACCAACAGCCCTGGGCTCAACCCTACTCCAGTGTCTCCAGCTGTTCTCCCTGTGCTGCTCAGGCCTGCATCCTACTGCAGCTCCCCTGCACTCTGTCGCTCTGACCTGCATTTTTTTTCTGCTCCTTGATTCCTCTTCTTTGTCTCCCAACTCCCTGGATATCTAGGAGCTGCAGTTTCATGCTTAGCAATTCACATGCAGTCAGCAGACAGTAGCTCCCCCTGCTGTCACACATTTAGCTTACACAGTACATTACACAAGTTTTGGTCCAAAATGCCACCTCAGCTGACAGAGGTTTAGATCAGACAACCCTAGCTCATCTCTGTGCTTTACTCTGCTCATTGCTAGAAGGTCTTTTCTTTCCTCTGCTTTAAAATACCAGCTGTAGTCTCTCATCAGCAGTGCTTTCAG